ACTGCCCAGTAAAACTGCATGGGGCATCACTCACCCATCCTAAAACTTCTGCCTGATAGCTCTTGAATCTGCATTTCTCACTCACTTACATGATGAATAAAGCTGCCCCCAAACTTGAAGACATGTTCTGTAGCTTTAATCAGATCATGAAAGGTCTCATCCTCTCTGGAGAAACGATGTCCAAACACGACAGCACAAATGACATTTGAGACAGAATGGACAAGAGGGAAAGAAGGATCCACAGGTTTCCCTGCAAGCATAATAATAAATACCATTGTTAATATTCCCTGTTGTAGTGAAATGTGAGAATTCTCTAAGTTACCCACAGAACTTTAAAGAAGGCATTGCATTTCACAGAGAAGCAGTAATATTTTTGCAAACTTGTAGTATCAGACTGATTCATTGCAATCCCAGGAATGTGTGGCACCTTAAATGTAGAGGTAAGGGGGGAAAAAAATGATGTAAATTTGCTTTCTGGCAAAATCAAAGTATGTCTCAAGCATGGGAATGACTGAGAACACTATGGACAAAGGGAACTTGAGGGTAAAAGAGCAAGAAGAGGGTCAGCTTTATTGATCAAGGACACAGAGGCATGCAAGGCTACTGTGTTTTGTCTGACCCTGCTAGAGATGTACAACCTCCAGTAAGATAAAATGTTGTAAACCCCTTTCAACCAGTTGTGTCAAAGTATAATAACTAATTTTAAAGCAGTTATTTGAAACCTGATCCCAAGAAAACTATTTTGTGACTATGGAATATATGACCATAAAACTCTATTTGTGTATGTATTGATGCAACTGCCCAACAGCCAAGGCACAATTCTGATTAGCAACTTACTGTTCTGGGCTTTTTTCCTTGCACACATGGTCACATCCCAATCTCTCCTAGCTCTTAAACCATGGGATTTGTCTCAATCTAATTACTTTTAATTGATACAACACTAGCCACAGCATGTCCTGACTTATTGTGCCTTTGCATAATGATCAGTATTGGGAAATCCAACTCACGTGATGCTAACTGGGTTGATCAAGATAGAGTCTTGTAAGGGAGACAAGATTCCAGTCAGTGTTTTACAGAGTGTGTGCAAATGGCATTACAAGGCTTAATTCATCAGCACTGATTTTGTCTCTCTGTGCACCAGCACAGAAGAGCGAAAAATGTGCCCTTGAGGCAAAACCCAACATCATTCTGGGCTGCATAAGGAAATTAATTGCTGTCAGGCCAAGGGAGGTGATCATTCCCCTCTGATCAGCACTGGCAAGATCCAGCTGAAGTGCTGGGTCCAGCTCTGGACTCCCCAGTATGAGAAACGTCAGCATATTAGAACAAGTTGAGCAAAGAACACAAGGACAATTGAGGAATTGAAGCATCTGGCATAAGAGAGGCTGAGAGAGATGGATTATTTAGTCTGGAGATGACTTAGGGAGATATCTAAATATGTATAAATGCGTGGTGGAGGGATAAAAAGAACATAGAACTAGACTTTTCTCAGTGGTATCAAGTGGGACAACAGGAAAAATATGTAAATACATAAAATTCTGCAGAAACACAAGAAATGTTTTTACTATAGCACTCACTGAACAGTGGAACTGGTTGCCCAGAGAGGTGGTGAAGTCTCCATTGCTGCAGATATTTACAATTCAGCCCTAAGAAACCTGCTCAGATTGACCCTTCTTTGAGTAGGGGTTAGACTAGACTATCTTCAGAGATATCTTTCCACTTAGGTTCTATAATATAATGTATAGAACTTAGGATCTATAATGTAAATAATAATAAATAATCTTCAGTTTTTCTTCTCAATTTTAGTAGCTTTGTAAATCATTTTGAGCAAGAATAATATCCTTAAAAACACAAAAGTGACTGGGGGCTTTGCATTTTCGGTCCATTCCACACAGTGTAGGACCCTGCACACTCTCTTGTGGAACAAAAGCTGCCTTCATTTTCAGGAGACAGAAGCTCATACACTAAAGATATCAGACTAATGGCAAAAATGTATTGCTATTTTTTGCAGAAATACCTTTCATGCTTGCAAAGAAGTCTACCAGGTAGTGGGCTTCTTCCTGAACTCGGTGCTCCAGACCTCTCTTCCCCAGACCAAGGTTGCGTAAAGTCCTCAGAGCAAACCTTCTCTGCTGCTTCCAGGTGTGACCGGTTGCCAACATAATTCCTACATCCATTACAGGAAGAGCTCTTTATCATGCTAATATTGATCATAGACAAAGACTACATTAAAGGATTTACTAAGCCACAGAATGTAATTAAATTGTTGCATTGCCTGTGAACACAAAGGTACCAAGGAAGAGCTGTGACCTGTAATCATGTTGGCAGGCTGAAATGGGCAAACTCAGCTGGGTAATAAGATGACTTGCAGGATTAAGTTTGATCCCAGAAAATCTCAGGATATCTCAGCTGCTTTTCTAGATCTTCTTTGCAGAGCTTGTCTCACGCTCTCTGCTATGCCTGAAGCTCACCTGAATCAGGGTAATGATTCTCATGAAAGGAAAAGGAGAAAGAGTTCTGATTGTTTTCAGTCAGGGAGAAAAGTTCCTGTCTGCAGGGTAGAAATGTTCAGTATTTAGGCTTTGTGACAGGCTTTGGGAATTTCTAGTGTGGTTGGTGGTATGAAACCTACAACAAGGTTGAACAAGCACACTGAATTTCTAGGTGCAACTGTGCCAGCAGGAAAATATTCACAAAAGGAAGAGAATGGGAAGAAGATCCCACCATCAAAGTCACTCTTCCATGGAAAGTATCATAATGGGAGGCAGCTTGTCCAGGACAAGGAATTGGGCTGTCTCCTGCTTTTCCTCCATTTCTCTGTGCCACAACTTATCATTGCCTCATCCCATCACCTCTGAATCTGCTCCAGTATTCCATAGAAGATATTATGAATCCTTCTCCTCTTGTTAGTATTTTCCTCCTGCTACTCTCCAAAAGCTCTTTCACCTCTCTGTACCTTGCAGTTCACCTGGCAGCCATTCCTCACAGAGAAACCCTTCCTCTGTGCTACCTCTGAAGGTGGTCACAAGCTACAAAAGGTACTGCAATTTGTCAAGATGACATTTCTGTGCACTATTAATGCCAGGAAAATCTCACCTTTTCCTTTGGCCATTGCTCTGAAGAAAGGTGACACCAGCCTCCCAGAAACATCTTCAGGGTGTGTGGTCATCCCATCCTTCACTGCTTGAAATCCATTCAGTATCACCACTGGGGCCCATCCAAACCATAAGGTGAACATGTTGCCATGAATTTTTGCCAGCTAGAGGTGGGAGAGAAGCCAGGAAAGCACAGATGAAATCCCACACACTGCAAACAGAGGATGAACCTGTTTTTGCACTGATTACAGGACCAGCCCTAAGGTGGAGTGGTGTTCTTCGTCTTTCCCACCAGACTACAGTTATCACTGAGAAATCATAAATGTCTTTTCCAACATTCACTGGCAGGAAACACCTGCCCATTCTCACTTTTCATAGCCACATGCCTATGCCAAGAAACATTATGTATCTTTTATTACTGTATATAAGCCAAGGCTCAGTTCACAATCATCCATGGGATAAAGAGCATTTTCTATTTAGCAATTTATTTCAGGAGGGTTCTTTCTTTTGCACAAGTACAGTAACACAAAAGAACACAGAACTGTCAGAGGAGTAATTAGCTTAGAGACTGGACTTTCTTCTTTCCTCCCATCTGTTTTTAATCCTGTCAATACAAACAAGCTCATACACACAGAGTACAGGGAAGTATCTTTTCATTGCTCGAGCTAGAGAAAGCTACAAATCCATGGTGTGAAAATAATTTTTTATAATATTTTTTTCCTTAATTCCAAATCTGACATATCATCCCCAAAGATATTTAATCCTAAATTATATCAATTTTCACATGAATTCATCAAATTTAGTGGCAAGGGATGATAGAAAGATACCAAGTTTCACACTAATTTCAGTGAAAATCAGTGTTAAAGGGGATAGGTTTAGACACCAGAATGATCTTCACACATTCAGAAATTCCAATACTAGGTTTCGTAGCATTAGGCAAACTACTTTACACTGCAATATCTTTTTCTTATTTTGTGAACCAAACCAAGTGTGATATCACAGTGGCCAGTTAACAGCTACAGCTACTTTACAGTTACTACCAATGCAGTTTGGGCCAGGATGTTTTCACATAGCAAACAACAAGAGAAAGGAGAAATCACAAAGAGTTTTGAACAATTAGGAGGATCTGAAAATAAGTACCTTCATGAGGAGATCACGATTAAACTGAAAGTTCAGCTGTATCAGCGTCCCAAGGACTGGGAGAGGGACTGGTCCAGGAGGAAACCATCTCCGTGCTCGCTGCAACTTAAAAAACTGCGTAATTAGGAGAAATACAGCCACTGCTACAAGAGCTTGACTTATGGTCAACATTTTAGCGTCTGCCTTTACCAACTTGCCTTTATTCAAAATTGTCTATTGAAGCTATTAAGGCTGGTTGCTAAACCAGTTTTTTCATAAGAGCTTGAATTCACTTAATAAGTATTCCCCACCTCTAACCCTCCCTCTTTATTATCAACCACTCCCTTTTTGTTCCACTTATTACATTCTCATGCTTCAGCATATTAATAGATGCACACCCTTCTACTTCTCATCCAGATTATACTTATTCAGTATGGATCACAGGATTTGTAGGAATGGTACCTTAAAAGACTGGGCCAAGATTTTCCAGGCAATGCAGGTGCATGCTAATTCTCCATCTAGTTTTTCTGGGACAATTTTGTATGGTATGTGTTCCTACAAATACTCCAGGAATGCTTTTAGAAAAGCAATAGCCATACATACAAATTAAGCAGGCAAATGTAAGTGGATATTAAATCTTGGAGTTTTTAAATTGGTTTGTATATATTCCATGTACATGTTATATCTAGTAATGGTGAGGCTGATAGAAGTTAAAAGCCCACATTTATCTTAAGATACATATACAACTATATAATGCTTAATACAAAAAGCAAAATTTGTTACACTTTTGAATGTAATTGAAAATATGACTGGATTGATGTATGACCTCACTTTTTTCCCTAACCTATTAGCACTAGGTAAACTCACAGAGGGTTTTGTCTTCTTCTGCACTTCCCTGTTCAGTCTTGACATAAAGTGGATACCCTAAATAATTTGAGAAATATCAGAAATTATTGTGAGATAAATAATGCATATTGAAAAGTACATTTAGTATTAAATAAACAGATTTAAAAGAAAAAAAAACAAAAACATTAGAAACATGGGAAAAAAACTAGTAGGGATCTTGAGCTACTACCAGAAAAAAGGGCCCCAGCAAGAACTAGTCATGACATGAGTTTGGATCCTTGGTAACTTGTAAACAGAGTCTGTAGCCAAGGCTCTTTGCCAAGCCTCAACACAGGCAGGAACCACAAACACAGCAGGGTACTCACATGCTGCAATCAGAGCATGGAAACCTCACAAGAGGGGTTCTGGTCACCACATTACCATAACCACTGCAGTCCCATGTTACAGATCCTGGCAGAAATGCTTCCCTGTCAGAACTGTCCATCCCTTGAGAGCAAAGCACTTGTAAAAGAAACATGTTTTCACAAATCTTCTGAAAAAACTGCCAAGACTTGGGAACCAACTTTCTTCTTACAAGCTGACTTTGGGACAGAAACTATTTCCAGAGTCTGTGGCTCTGGAACACAGAAGACCCTGCAGGAGCAGCCTGGAGTCTACCAGCACACAGTTTACAAACCTCCAGGTCAATTAGCCTTCAACCACAGCTCATTACTGCTAATGCATAACTGATTAATGTGTATTGACCAAGGGATATTCATAGGTTTCCACATAAGCTTTGTTTGTGTACACTAAAAAGGTGATTTTTCAAGACAATAATTTCTAATTTGTCTCTCTCTTTCAACGGGGAAAGTAAAATTCTCTTTAAAAAGAAATTTGTTAAGTTTTGCCTTCTCTCCAGTGTAATCTCACAAACTCTGCTTCAAAATCTCCAATTTATCAAAACTTTTAATTTGGAATCAATATAATGTGTTCCCTTTTCTTTTAGATATTAGAAGATTTTCCATCTAAGTGATTTTTCATCAGGAAAAGTCATTAATGTGCACTGGAAATTAAGCCCTGGTGCCTTCACCCCACAAGGGCTGGAGTCTCACACCTTTAACCAGTGTTCAGCTGGAGCCAGCCTGGAATACAGTTCACTTACACTGGAAAAGGAAGATGACTGTAGTCATCATTGGTTCAGATCAGAGGCATGGGATTTATCTTACTTTATTTGATGGAAAATGTATTTATGAGATAGCCAAGGCTCCATTTTCTTAATAATTACTAAATGCAACCATCAGCAGCGTTTCTTCAGTACTATCTTCCAGCTATTCTTTAAAATTAGTGATTTTTAACTTGCTAAAGGCAAGCAACTGCTGCTTCCCCTCCCAGACCCAGATGGATACAAATGAATTAGTCTCTTACCAGTGTGGAGCTACTGCCCGGGGGATGTTTGCAGGTCCAGTATGAGGAAACTTCATACCAACCACCTGCCAGGACATGCTGGATATGGGTAGAACCATCCCATAAAGGTAATCCTACAGGGGAAGACACTGCCAACCCAGGTTTGATCCTGTGTGCACATCCCTGCCTGTTAGACTGGGGTGCTTTAAAACACCAGTTGGGCAGCTGTGATAATGATGTCAGTCCTGGAGATGGCACTGTCAGCTAATCAGTGTATAAAAATAATCCTTTCTGTGTTGGCATGCAGTATCCAATTTGTACCTCATACAAGAAGAATGTATCCCAATGCCATAAAAGAAAATCCCTTTTAAACTGCCAGTAAGCAGAGCAGCGGAAAACATCCATTTTTGCCAATTCCTTAGGCACCTGGCTCATAAAGGGCTTCCAGAACTCTTCAGTAATGCCAAATATACTCTTGGTCATGGTGTGCTAAGTGAGGTCATCTAACTGTGATAAAGAATCCATTTTAAAAATTAAAGAAAAAATGAAGCTGAATAAACTTCTGGAGGATCTGGAGCAATCATCACAAGTAGACTACCTGGCATGAAGAAAAAGTTTCCACGTTGCTTGAAAATAGTGGGCTCATAAAAAAGAATAAATTAACACTGTGCCTGCTCACTGTTGTCATTTGTCTTCCAGTTGTTGCTCTTTGCAAGGATATGAAAAGCTCTCCACAACTGCCTGATGAAGACACTTTTCTATTTTCATCAGAAGGGTTGAAATGCTGCCCGGTTTAGTGGGTGAAACCCTGAATGTTCTTCCCAAGTGACAATGATAGAGTTGTATACAACAGGCCTTCTCAACAGCAAACCATATCAGTCTAAGGGAATGTTACCTCAGATCATACTTCTGCCTTCCTTCCTCCAAGGGCTTCTTCTTCAACCACTGATACCACGAGACAGACTGGAAGACCTCTGAACCCATCTCCACAAATGCAACTGTGGCTTATGAGAAAGAATCTTTATTCATGAGACTTATAGATCACACTTCAAGATTCTGTAAAACCTCTTTCCAGTTGGTAATAAACAAGTCCCAACTGTAATTCTTCCCTTAATGTCTTTATTTGTTACACCTCAGGAGAAGTTTATTTTCCAAAGGAGAAAAATATTTTCCAAACAGAAAAAAAAAGAACAAAATATGAACCCTTTATAATTATAGTGCTCAGGATGCAACAGTTTGCCAAGAATCTTTCAGAGTAGTGATTAAGCAAATGAAGAGGAAAGCAAAAATCTTAGGACATGAAAAAAGTAATTCACATACAGAAGCAGTTTTAGAGTAACTCCTCCCTGAATCTGCCATTTCCTATCTAGGAATGGCACGGATTTGGTAGGGAGGTGGCTTCATCGTGCTCCCAAAAACAAATTTGGTGTTGACTTCCTTCACACCTTCTGGCAGGGTGAATGTAAATGCTTGTAGGAGGGTAGAAAAGACAATAAAGAGCTCCACCCTTGCCAACAGCTCCCCCATACACACACGGTGCCCTGTGAAGAAACAGAAAAGGCAATTCAGTCCAAGGATTTCTATCATACCTCCCTTTCTAAACTGCCTGGGATTTTCTTTGCTTGTTTTCTGCAGATTTTATCCTTTTCTCTTTGTCATTTAATGATTCATAACTGAAAGTCTGCTTGTATTTCCACAAAAAATTTCCATCTGCATTTACAGCAAGCATTTAGACATTCTAGAAATTGTCACCAGGGTGGCATAGTTTACATTTACAGTCTTCCCAACACCATGCATTTTTCTGCTACTGCTTTGTTGTCCAGAGAGAAATTGGATCTGTCTACCAAGAAAGACTTTTCTATATGTCATTCCTTCTCTTCCAATCTTTTCTGCATACAACTGGACTTTCTCTCTTCTTAGAGATCTTTAAGACAATTTGTGTATGCCCATTTGTAGGTGCCTTCACTGTCATTCTGGGAAATGTATGGATCTGAAGATGTTACCACAAGAAGTAAATAAATCCCTGTTCAGTGCACTTACCTATAGCAAATGGTAAGAATGCTTCTCTGTTTATGAAGTTTCCATCTTTATCCAGAAAGTGGCCTGGGTTGAACTGATCAGGTGTCTCCCATTTTCCAGGGTCAGCCAGAACAGAGTCAATATTTGATAAAACTATGGTGTTCTGAAAAAATAGAGCAGTGGCTGCAACAAAAACTATGACTGTAGAATCTACTAATATCTAGGACAAAGCCTTGTGAAAGACCATCCACAGAGAATGTCAAATCTTAGAGGCACTGCCAGAAGAAGAGTTCATGTCCCCAATCAGGAAAAACCTCAAAAGCCTTTCTAAAATCATCTAATGGACTAAGGATAAAATTCATTCAAACATGCAGCACATTTGTACCTTTGGAATATGATATCCCAGCAGCTCTGTGTCCTTCACACTCAGTCTGGGCAGTGCAATTAAGAGTATGTTGCTGTATCGCTGGATCTCATGAATTACAGCATTTGTGTAGGGCAACTTTTTCCTGTCCTCATAGCAAAATACGTGGGAACAGCCCACAACAGCATCCAGCTCCTTCTGGACTTTCTCTAAGGAGGAATAGTCAGCTTTAAATATACAGCAAACATTCTATAAACTCTATAGTCATAATTGTTCCTGTTGCTTTTTATAGTCAGAATGGCATCCAACCAGATGGAAAATATACTTTATAAAAAAATAATGTCTTCAAATTCTCATACAGATGACCTGAAAAAATTTGACATTAAAGTTATTTATAGGTTGCATATATACTTTTAAAATAATGACAGCAGATGAGGTCATTCTATAATAATATGTGGGTTCCTGTTACCTCTACTGCTCCAAGGTAATTTATAAAAAGACTTTTATTAATATTTATTTCAACAGGCAGGTAGTCAATGAGAAAAAATATTAATTATGTGTTAGGGGAACAGTTTAGTAATTGATCAAGGATTGTTCTTCGTTAAGAAGCACATAGATTTTGCTTGTCATTTATAGATGTCCTAATTGCTATTCTGTAATTACTTGCCTTGGGAAGCACTCACACAAATTAATTTTTCCCAAGGACTTCTTTTTTTTTACTTCCAATCCAAGCTGAAATGGTAACTTCTAATTATTTTTTTTATTAATACTACAGACTCTATCATTGTAATTAGAATTACCCCCCCCAAAACTTAACAATGTGTTAATATATCCTGAGAAGAAGAAAAATGTGAAAATTCAGTATGTGCAACTCAGTCTCAAGTTTTAAGTCTTTTGAAGGTAACAAAAATGGGAGATCCTTTCTCCTTAACACTTCCACATTTTCTTTTTACCTCCCTCCTGTTGGGCCTGGGACTCAGGTTAAACTCTGAATTATGAAGTCTTTAAAGTGAGTTTTGTACCTTCTAATCCTTTCTATTCCACACACTCTGGCTCATTTTTTTTCCAGTCATTTAACTCTGCCAACCTGAATCTTTCTTCTGTGAATATCATCATTAAAAGCACACATTTTCAAGCTACTCACCCCAATATTAGCAATCTTACACTGTATTTAAGTTTTCTCTGCTGCAAGAGGCCAAGAGCTAATCAAAGAGTAGGAGTCAGAGATTTAAAAGGATGATCCAAAGACTCCTTAGTGGAAGTCTAAGCATTACTCTGTGTGGAGGGGCAATGGTGCAATTTATCTCATCTGGGACTAAATTCCTCCAGCCGATTAAATTAATTACATTCTGTTTAGATACGTTAAAAAAAACCCAAACAAAAAAACCCAAACAAAAAAAAACAACCAAAAAAACCCAACAAACTGAAATTTGCTGTATGTTAGAAAGGATACAGCAAGAAACAAATGCAGTTCATCTGAGTCACACTTTAGTTATTAGTTCCTCTACTTCTCTTTGAACAGGCACAACCACTATCTAAACTTGTATTATTGCTAGAGTTGCAGACCTCTTTGAATGCACTTACCTTGAATGTCAGGATAAATCACCATATAGAGCAATGCCCACAGTAAAGTGGTGGCTGTAGTTTCTATGCCTGCTATAAAGAGGTCAAAAATGGTCTGGCGAAAGTTTACTTCATCATAAGTAGCATCAGCATCTCCTTTAGTCTGCAGATATGGATTGAAAAGAAAGTTATGGCACACAGAAGAAGAATTAAACCACCTGGAGAAATCATACACTTCTAAATTTATATTAGACATCACCATAATAAAATAAACACTTAAAATTCCTTTTTGTTAATGAAGTGTGAGAGAAGTTCAGAGGTACTCACTTTATCTATCTCATCCAAATAGTAATCAATAAAATATTGATTCTCATCAAATTTTCCTTTTCCTTTGTGACTTTCAAGTTCCTTTGCTAACAGATCATTCACAAAATGTACACAGGACTTAAGCTTTTTAACTGATGGCAGAAAATGACCAGCAAGCCAGGGAGACAACTCATATATCTGTAAGAGAGATATTTTAGCTATGTGATATTACATATAAACATGTGACATTTAGCAAACTAAATTTGAATCCTAATTCAGGCTTCTGGGTAGTGGAAAAAGCAAGTGAAAGATTGATGACTGAATCAGCATTAGATTGAAGGGGTAGTGCTTATCCCATGATTCATTAAAGATTAAAGGCTTTCTTAATTCTATTTTTCCCAGGAGCAAAAATCAAAATTTCTCTCAGTTTTATATGAAAAAGTTTTGTATTTATTTATATATATATACCCACACTTAGAGATTATATAAATAAAATGTGATGTAGAAAGAATAAATTAAATTCCTCTCTACCCCAATTCTTTGCTGGGCTGAACTTTGCTCAGCTGAACTAAGAATCTCCCAAGAAACCTGTCCCTAATCTCACTTTATCCAACACACACATAATTTCCATTTCATCACTAAAAAAAACAGATCCAGGCTGACTTCCTTGACACATCTGTTAAGTGAAAATAGAACTATCCAAACCCAGGTTTATTTTCTTACAATAGGATAGTGAATGCATGGGAATTTTACTCACATTTGCCTTCTCATATATAAGAAGCAAATAGATCATATTTGTGTGATGTGCAAAATAACTCAATGACACAGAATCACTGCATTGTGTGGCTTCCCTCCCATTTATTCATTGTTCACCATATTCACCTTCTTGTCCTTATGTTGTCATAAAGCCATATATCAGCAGAAAAGAAGTAAAACACTTCTTACATCCATTCCATTCTACTTCATTTCATTTTCTTTTTCCCCCCTTTTACAGACTGCATCATGTCCTTCTAGTTACAGAACTACTGCAGCTTAAATTATACCCATATTATAATGGATGTTAGATCTTAACTTCTGGGCTCACCTGTTAAAGTGGCAGGTGCATTACAAAGATTTATCTCCCCACATGCCTGTTCAGATTCCCAGCTCTATTTCTTCTTCGCCCTACTGAATAATTTTCCTTAGCACTACCTGTCCTTTTACCAGGAAAACAGGTAAGTACAGCCAGTCATTAAGGAATTGTACATTCCTGTAAAAGCACTGTGGAGAGTGGGACACAATGAAATGCTGGACTAAAACAATTTTGTTTGCTCTGGACACACTATTAAGGTGTTTTAAAAACAACTTTTACAAATAACTACTGAGAGCAGTTTGGAAACAGCTGAACCTGTGTCTACCCTGATTAAAAGGGTAGCTTAGGAATCATTCCACTGGTATATTCTGGGATAGTTACTAATAAGTCATTTTATTTTAGCTTATCTACCAAAAGTATCAAATTAGTCCTCAAATCCCCTAAGACCTTGCTTACAGCAGTTTCCAGTCAGTCAGAGGCAGTGGAAATCACGCAAGACACAGAACTGGATGAGTTCCTACAGATTCTGCAGAAGCAGCTGCCTTGTGCATGGGTAAATTCACTTTTTGACTACACACAGTACCATGATTCCTTCTCATAAATGATTCATAATAAAACTGCCCCAGTCTGAGGCCACCTGTTCTGCTCCTTTGGCAGCTGCAGTCACAGATGCACATATAGAAGCAAGAGAGACTTTTTCTCTCCGGGGACCAGAAGTGAAGTTAGGAGTTGAATGGAGACAGATATCATCCAGCAGCTAAAGGAGGGTGACTTCTGTTGTGTCACTGTATTCTTGTAAGGATGTGCAGATGTGGTACAGGTGCTGTTGTCAAAAACTGTAGGGAAAAGCTGCCATTAAGCAATTTCATGCCATGTTACCTTTGCACAAAGCAGTTTCTCTACTCCAGTTTATATCAGGTCAGCTGGCAGCAGTGAAGGAAGATGTAAAAATCCATTTATTCTTGACATTTTTTGACAGCCATGTCATATGACAGAATGAAGAAAGCCGGTTCACCAGACATAAATTAGGATAAGCCTATTTCAGAGCTTTTCAGATAATTTAACCCATATTTTACTACTGATTTCAAATATAGTTTAAATCACAGGAGTTGTACAGGTGGCACTTTTGCAAAAAAGTCTTTTTTACATCTCTCAGTGATGTAACAAATCTGCATTTTCATCCCTGTCCCCCAGACACAGGAAATTTTTCTGCTATGATGAAGCACAAGCAATTGAAACAAGTTTTGAACCAGGCATCTGGAAGCACTGTTCTAATGTGCTCTCCAGAAATTCCAGGTGCTCTAATATTTATTTTTGTTACAAAAGTAACAAGCAAGTTGCCTTTTTGCACCATCTATCTATAGAGAGCAAGCAAACAAACAAAACTGATTTTTCTCACAAAAAAGGAGACGCTGTTCAAAAATGCTGAAATGGTGTCAAAGGATTCAATCAGGCGGTGAAAATTCTCGTCATCTCTGGAGAAACGATGTCCAAAAATCACAAGGCAAATCACATTTGAGACCGTATGAACAACAGGCATAGTGGGGTCCAGAGGTTTTCCTGTAAACACAAGGGACTGCACTCACCATTAAAATTTCTTGTTCCTGCTTTTCTCACTGAGAGGGGAGCTGATAAAATTTCATAAATATTTCTGACATCAATTAGATCACTGGATGGCAAATTGTAATTTACTGTTAAAAGGCCTGAATGAAAAAGTAACTTCTGACATCTAAAAAAGCACTGTTGGTTAAAAAAAGGAAAAACTGCTGGTGGAAATGGAATTAGTAGTATTAATTATAAGAATGTTGATTTTATCAAACCTTGGCATCAGCAGATCTCATGTTTGGCAATAACCAGGGTACAAAACCAGCTGAGACATTAAATACACAGATTAGTTGAGAAGAGAACCACCTTCTAGTCTTCTTTTATATCATTTTACCATATTAGAATATATATCATTTTATCATATTAGAATATTTCAACCTACCCATTGATTCACCCCATTTTTCAGCACCACAATCTGAACAAACTCCCTCTCCTACTGAGGAGCTCACCATAAGCTGTGTGAGCTGAGATTTTTCTACTACACTTGACAGAGGAGAGAACAGGTCTGGGCATCCTTGGTCAAAACTTTGCATATTTTATGCTTTTTCTTCTCTACACAGGAATAGGAGGCATTGTGACACTGATTTTGTTACTGTTTGCTGTTACCCTGATGCTGTTACCATAAGTAACATAGAATGGACTCAGAAGTAAAAACACCTATAGGGACCAGTATATTATAAATATGTAACTAGACATATATATAACAAGACAGGAATCTCTAATTCTTCTGAGCTTGCTGTGGTGTTTCACACTTCAGCAAGTAAATATCTCATGCAGGTAGCATATACAGACTTTTGAGACATATCTCTGCACATACACTTTGAATCCATTTTTGTAATCAAATAGTTTCAAAAGCCACCAGAGCCCCACTCTCCAGCAAAGTCTCCCACTGCACAGACTGCCCTGCCCACCCTCACATACCGTTTGTTTTCTGTAAGTATTCCACCAGGTGAGCAGCCTCCTCTTGCAGTAGATAATCCTTATCTTTTCTCCCTACTCCCATTTTCCTCATTGTTGCAATTCCAAAACGCCTCTGCTGCTTCCAGAGGTGACCATTAGCATATATAACACCTAGAATCATAATGAACAAATGCTGTCAGTACCTTCTAAATGAATGGATTTGTACATCCAAGAAGCTTCTCTTTTCTTCAAATTTTTTCAATTTTTCTACAGCAGTCTGGCAACATTTCTCTTTTTGTATTTTAGCCATTTATTCTCTGTATAGAAGCTCTTACATTAGCTCTAAGCTGACATTATTGTTCTGACAGAATATAGAATAGAATTGTTTTTAAAAACTCACAAAAATTAAAACTTTTTTCCTGATGTAAATTAAGGACTTTTAGGCTCTAAATCAATATTCAGAACTAGGGATAGAACACATTAAAAGAATTTCTGAGAATAATAATTACCATTTCCACGTGTCAGAAGGTGAAAAATTTTGCTTGTGGGCCTTGCAGCAACATCTTCAGCATGAGCAGTAAGACCTTCCTTCACTGCCTGAAACCCTTGCAGGACAACCGCAGGAGTGTTTGAAAACCATAAGGTGAAGATATTACCATGAATTTTAGCCATCTATAGAACAAAGCAGGATCAGAATAACAAGAGTGAGAAATGGTGCTTTTAAATCAAAGAAGATGGACCAGATCTTCCCCCTGGGCAGATGCCCTAAGGGTGACTGGCTTTGAGAAGAGAGCATCAGATATGCTCTTACATACAATATAGTTTGAAGTCGGGTTTCTATCTAAAGTCTCATTTATTAAAGGTCATGACGTTTCTAAAATGTCAGCCAATATTGCCAAAGTCTGTGATGTTGTTTATTATGTCTTATGATTCAAACTCATTGTAGATGAACTCTTCCATCCTCACCACTTGCTACAGCAGTAGCTCATGAATTTAATATGAACCATCTACAGATTCCCCTTCGTGTGTCAAGTGTACTAAAAGCAGTCAAGGAGCTGAGTAATGTAGGAATTTCCTTTCTAGCTCAGCCGTGACAGCCTTGTCTTCAGCTGCTGTGCACGCAGGCATCGCTGGCAGCAGGCAGGACAGTCCTTCCCCTGGCTGCTCAATCAGGAGCTAGAAAAGTAGCAAAATAGGCTGGAAAGAGTGCTGTGCTGCTAAGACAACCCAAGAAATGCAGGACTAGAAGACTGCAAAATTTTTCTGCCTGGGAGCAAACAAGAAGGAATACTTATGTACAGTGAGCAAAAATGTATGTGCTTGTGCTTGCACACTTGTGCTTAATTCATTTTTGTCAGAACCAGTTCGTGGCTTTTGAAACATTGTGGTGACCAGTACTACTCTTAATGTCTGGGATGTCAGAAATAGAAGAAAATACAGCAGACAGGCACTAGCTACTATTTTATGTTATGGAATAATATCACTTTGCCTTGAAATATGCAGCTCAGGAGGACAGAACTGGCAGGACATGGAAAAACCTGGGGAAATGAAGGTAGAGAATGAAGAGGGAGAGTGAGGTGCTATCACTGACATATTTAAAAGTTAAATATTTAGTATAGATGCATAAGAACTATAAAAAAAACAGGATACAGACTTCAGAAGTGCTGTACATTACAACTGGACTTAGAAAAGAGTTTGAGCATACTGTGAATTATTTTAGCCATGTAAAAACTCGGTCTTGCTAAGCAGACTGAAATCTCTTGTAAAAATCTGAATAAATTGTATGTCAGAAAAAAATTTATTCTAAGATCTTTCCAAAAATCCATTGAATAAGTATATGAAAAAAATCATCCTGTCCATACTGGAAACACACATGTCCCCAGTAGCTATTTAATGGGATATTTGGAAAATGTCAGTGTAACAACAGTCAAAATTCAGACATCCAAAAGACTGCACTGAATTACTGAGTCTACTTTAAAATACATCTTTTTCCTATATGTAAGACAGGACTATTATGATCATGATGTTTTTGTTCATATGCACATAAGGTATTAAGTATATGTTTCATAGTAAGTGCAAATTTTCACAAAGAAACAGATATTTTAATTATCTCTACCTACTTCCACATTTTTGCAATTTAGAACAAATCCCTCCCTAGCATTCAAAATAAGACTATGTTAAACACATTTACTTTTCGATCAGCTTATTGAGTCCATTAATAGATTGCCAGAAAGTACATACTTTTTTAAGATGCTCATGATGGATTTTGAAGTTCATCTGCAGCAGATTTCCAAAGAAGGGATATGGAGTTGGTCCAGGAGGAAATCGTCTTCGCATCCATTGCAGTTTCAGAAACTGTATCAACAGCAGAGATACCACAAAGAATACCAGCACCTCACTCACTGTTAACATTTTACTTCTGATTTACACAGCTACTTTGTCTCTCTACAACTGCTGTGTAGAGAGAGGAGAGATCCAGTTTATCTTGCTTTTGGGCTACCTCCCTGAAAAGAGAAAAAGCACTTGACGCTCCTGTGGCTCTCTGTCTTTCCCCTCTTTATAACTTTTACTTCCCCATCCCAGAGAATTAAGTGTTCTTATTTTTAGGTATATATGACATCATTCCGTTATATTACAGTTACACATCTCTCAATCATTGCCTCTGCAAGGGACACAAAATACAGGTTAATTATACACCTCTTTGTGCCATGACTCCTGCTGTGACAAAAATCTCTGCCCATGGCCCTGGTTGCATAAAAACCTCTTGCAAGAATAAGAAATAAAAATAAACTTCCTGAGGGCTGGCTGCACATCCAAGGGCAGTGGGGTTACTGAGAAGTTCAGCCATCATATGCACCAACTACATGCTCTGCTGCTTAACTCACCCCAATACTGTTGATTCTGATGTTCTCTGCTATTCCTGTAATAGTTTTCCTCACAGTTTATATTGGAAGATGTTCAGGGGATGACTCTACCTTTTAATTTTGTGCCTAGGGCACACAGACCATAAAAGATGTCAACTGATCATTGGGTAACAGGAGTTTGATGGTAATAATGATCTAACACCTCAGTGTCCTCCCACTCCCTGCTCAGCTGCACAGGGAAGTGGGGCTGCACAGTCTCCTTGACCAAGCAGAAAGCAAAATTTCTTCACCCCTCTGCTTGCCTCTGGCTAATCCCCCTGGATTGCCTGCAGCAGGAGAACAAAGATGACATACAGCTATCTCTGAAGCTTCTTTCACAAGTGCTCTCATACAACTAAGCAACTCCAGCTCTGCAAAGGGCAGCATTTGAACATAATCAGCACAGATTTGGCACTTGCACAGAAACAGCATTAGCTTAGACTCAGCTCATCTGACAATGACAGCAGCAAGTGGCACTCTGGGAAGCCACCTAGATGGCCTTGCTGCTCATGTACCAACCTTGCAGAGCTGGCACGGCTAGAAATAAGAGTTGTGAGGTTTGAAGGACATTGGTTTACCCCAGAACCAGAGCAGAGAAATAACATTTACCCATCTTGCTGGCCCACTGATTGAACTGGGATCAACCTCAAGAACTGAATTACTGACTTTCAAGATCACTTTAGGGACTTCTAGTTCCTTCATTGGTGTTGCACTTTCTTCATCTCAAACTGCTCCCAGCTCTGAGTTTAGTATTTTCCGAAGTGTTCCTGGGAGGAGACTCACAGCCCCAAGGCTTGCCTGCCCTGCTCACTTACAGCCCCATCTGGCCCCTGCACAGTCCTGGCTGGCTGATCTGCATCTCCCCTGGCTCTCCAGGCTCACTCTGACTTTTCCACACAGATTAGCCACGTTCTGGTGATTGCATCTCTCAACCTAGACACGAACTGCCTGCACGTAGCACGTAGGGAGGCAGCTTTGCCAAGTCTTTGGGAGAGATGTCAAAGAGAATACAAATTGCTTTTCTCCTCATAAAAGATGGTGCTGGAAGGTTGAGAACAGAGAAGCCTGATAAGGTTTTGTAAGCTGTATTTGCCACAGCTTCAGTGAAGAGAACATAATGCCTGAGGAACTGGGGGGGTTCTGAGAGCTCAGAAGAACAGAAAGGTTCTTCTCTAACAAGTGAATCCTCCTCCCTTCACTCCTGGCAGGAGAGCTGCTGGCCCATTCTCTTCTCTCCCTTTCAGCCCATGACACTATGGATAAACAGAGTAATTCCAACTAGTCCTTGAAGAATGCTTGCAATAACAACTGTAAAGTCTTTTTTTTTCAAGGAAGGAAACAGGTAGAGCAACAGTAACCTGCACTCTGACTTTGGGTTTAAACTTCACAGGGTGGCTAACAAGGCCAGTCCCACAGCAAGAGTGGCTTCTGGCACTTGCTGTCCACTAGCCCTTCTTGAACCCTGCTTCTGCCAGCTGCACCTTGCACAGCTCTTCCCTCAGTGTGGGTTTGGACTCAGCAGGCTCAGCTCAGCTCTCAGAAGGCTGCTTGTGTGCAGCTGCCCCTCTGGTCACAAAAAATTCTCAAGAGCTTTGGTTCTCCCACAGCTTTTGGGGAACAACACGTCAATGTCTCCTGCTCTGCCCCTCTTTTGCAGGCATCAAGCTTTGCTGCACAAGACTGCAAAGACTGCAAGCTGCCCCCTGAACTGTGCTTTTGGGCATCAGTGAGGACATATGGCAAACCTAATCTGCTATACATCATCGTTGTTACAAACCCTGGTGTGTGAGAGGACTCCCACCTTCATAGATTTGGCTCTCAAATGCACCACAAGAGCATATATCAAAAAATAAAAAAATAAAACCATTTCCAGGCCAGCCCGCTGGTCCTTATCTGATTCTACCCACCGCATTTCACCAGCAGTGGGGCTTCCCTCTGCATTTTCCAGCAGGCAATAGGAGGGGGTTGCCTTTGCTTTTGGCCCGAGTCAGGAGCCTCACAGCCAAATGAAGAGTTACACTGTTGTCTCTCTGTTACTTCCAGTCTCAAGTGATCATCGGCCAGTGGCTCTTGGCTAAAGAGACAAATCTGCTCCCAGCAAGCTGAGACGCCCCTCCACAGCTTTGTGTTCCCATGCAACCATAGCTGGGAGCTCTGGCAATGCCCAGAGCCACCACCTCCGGGAACAGCATTCCCACACACCATTCTGGATTTGAGAATGCATGGGAAGACTCCTCGGAATCTGGCTCTGGTGTTCCTGCTCTCTCCAGTAAGATTCTGCCCAGTTTCTAGTAAGACTAGACAGAGCAATAATTGTCTACATTTATTTCATTTGTAACACAGCAGGAAAAAAGTACAGACACTTTCCAGACACAGGAAACCAGAGTGTTTTTCAGGACTGGCTTCTAAGACATGTAACACAACAAGGAGAGATTTGCACTGCATTTGAGCTAAAAATGAGAACCCTAAAGCTGCACAAATACCGGCACACTACCAAACCTGTGTCTGTGCCTCTTAAATCTCTAATGCTGAGCAACCTAGCGCAGAACTGCACAGAGCTTGTATGGATGGGGTTTCATGGTGCTCCCAAAGATAATGTCTGTGTTAACTTCCTTAACTCCTTCTGGTACAGTGAACTTGAATTTCTGCAGCAGGCTGCAGAATATGATGAAAAGCTCCATCTTGGCCATCGTCTCTCCCAGACAAACACGGTGACCTGCAAGGGGTGAATGGAAAGAGAAGTCAGTCCCCACCAAGGTCTGCAACCAGCACCTGTTTCCCAGCTTTTCACAGGAGTGTTGCTCAGCAAGGAACTAAGAGCTTTGCTGAATTTGACAATTTCTTCTCAGACTGAACTGGACACACAACTGAGATATCTGCAATTCATCTTAGCAGTATCTGCCCATATTATAGAAAAGATACCAGAGATGCTTCTCAGAAGTTTCATTCTTGCTTCCTAATCTACAGGATTCTCTAGTTTTATGAAAGAGATTTCAGTCTTTTGATTCCAAATAAAAACGACAAGAAGGCATCTTTAGGTTCCCTCACATTTTCCACTTAGCACTGACTTATCTTCCCTAATAACAGTGAAAAATCAGAAGACAGATGACATTCTACATCTGATAAAACATTTTCCTACATAATGGTTTCAGTGAAAAGAACATATTAAAGAAAAATCTCTTCCCAACTTATCAATTAACTCTGTCAAGGATATAATTCCCATAGACAGACAGTGACAAACTCTGAAATGCAGTGGTCAGGTTATTCAATTTGGATGTGAGAAATCAATTCCTCTTCTGCCCAATTTAGACCAGAAACCTGAGCCTGACATTTTCACATCTCAACTGACAGCTCTGACAATCAGACTATTCCCTCCTGGCATGATCCCCCAGAGCTTCTGTTTGTTTAAGCTTCTATAAACTCACACACTGGTGAAAGAGTGATTCCAGAAGCTCCACAGGAAAGACATAGATTTTTGGATGTATTTGATCCAGCTTCTGGATCTCCCATTCATCTCTCTGCACTGATGAATATTGAATTATTTATACAAAATAAATCAGCTCCAGCACAGCAGCCTGGCACAGAATATCCACTGTAATGGCATAACCTGGCATATACAGAGGAGGACCAAGGGCAGCAGTGTAAAGACTCAAGTTCCTAAGTAATTGGGAATTTTGGGACCTTACTCATTTTATCTTCTCTGCATTTTCATAAAAATCTAAGATCAAGCATTTATACAGTTGCCAAACAACTTATTCTTGCAGACAAACATTTTTCTGGGCTGGGAAAACCACATGTTCCTGCATTTTGGGGTAACACTCCCCTTTGGCCTTCTCCACAATGAAAATAACACAACTTCATCTAACCTACATAACTGGGCTCAGTTCATAGTGCACTCACCTGCTGAGAAGGCCAAGAAGGCCTCTCGGGTCACAAAATTTCCATCCTTGTCCAAGAAATGGTCAGGGTTGAACTGGTGAGGCGTCTCCCAATAGGCAGGGTCAAAAAGAGCAGAGTCTACATTGGCCATAATTATAGTGCCCTGAAAGGAAGATGTGCTTGGCACAGTTCTGTCTGTGCCAACAGAGATTCCAGCTGTAATTCTGCACATGGAAATGCAGCAGAAATTAAAGATTACATAGTTAGGGGAAAAACAATCTCAAGGGTTCTGAGGGGGGTTTTTCTTCAAAAAATAAAAAAGGAAAGAAACTTCAGTACTTAGGGTTCAGGGATTTCCCTGCTGTATTCCTTCACGTCTCTTTTTCCAGTCTGTTAGCAAATGCCATAGAATGTGTGGTCTGCAGTTCTTTAGCACCTTATCCTAAATCTAGTGAAATGACCTTCCTGTCCTGAGCTGGAGAAGAAAGGGTTTAATGGTAAACCTTTACTTGTGGCCAAAGATCCATTGGAATAGAAGGAATATCTGTACCTTTGGAATGTGATACCCCAAAACTGTGGTATCCTTCACAGCTTCTCTAGGAATTGTGATTAAAACAATGCTGCTGAAGCGGAGGATCTCATGAATCACAGCATTTGTGTACGGCAGCTTCTTCCTATCCTCGTAGCAGATGAGATGGGAGGGACTCAGAACAGCATCCAGCTCTTTCTGGACTTTGTCTAAAAAAAATTAAAATACCCATTATAAATACAGGAATGTTGTTTGGCGCGAAACAGAGTTTTCATTTCCTTTTTAGAGTATAGTAGTGATTGAAAAATTTACAATATATAAAGAATTTATACTTACCATATCCTAAAGTGTAAATGCATTTATACAACCAGCTAATTATAATTTTACTACACTCTGTTTCCCTGTTTATAGGTTCTATGTTCAGACCCTCTTTCCACAGGCTCAGCAGATTTATGGAGCATTATATTAAAAGGAGGGGGAGAAAACTCTAAGCATAACAAGACCTTCTTATTAAGAGATCAATTCTGTTGATCAAATCAAGTTGTTGATTTTACTCCAGGTTAATTACAGACTCACAGCACACTAATGAGGGCAAGCAAGCCATCCCATCAAGCTGATACATGTGTAATACTGAGAACTGAAACAGGATCATATTACTAAAGCATCACCAAGTGTTAATCTCTTTGGACTGCTATCTAAGCTTCAGTAACTAACACACCTTATACAGTCTCAAATGGTTTGGAGTCAGATTTCATACTTAAAACTTGGGCTAGTAAGCTAAGAGGCACTTTTTTCTTTATAATTTATCAGAATTTAAAATTCATGTGTGTGCACAGGGCTCTGTTCTTCTAGCATTCTAGCACCACAAGCATGAAAAGAATTTCTAGCCAACAGCCTGAGAATCAAGAACATGGCTTAATAATTCATCACCTCTGAAAACCCTCTACCAAATCATCCAAAAATTTTGAAACTAGTGTGGAACTATACTCCAGTCTAGAATTTCTGGATCATCTTTTTGTCTTCCTATTATTTTCCTCCTTCTCTGCTTAATATTCCCATATATTAGAATAAATATATCTATTTTACAGAAATTCAATTGATGTTTCAGTTAATGAACTCAAATAATACAACCTTATTACACACTCTGGATACCAGAAAAGCATCACTATTCCCTAACCCAAACTCTTATTTCACCTTGTGTGTTTTCAGCCTGTATCTCCCAATATATGCTTACAGTGCTGAAAGTCTGACAAAAATCAGCAAGACCCAATACAATATCAGAACCCAAATAGCCCTGAATTTATTTTAAAAACTGTCTGAATTTTTTTACTACATTGGCTTGTTTATTAAAAGTGAAGTTCAGGAATTATCTTTTAAAAAAGAAAGCTTAATCTTAAAAAAACCCTTGATTTTAGCCAAAAAAAAAAAAAAAGAAAAAAAAAAATTACAGAAAATTGCTCTACTTGAATCATACCCATGTTTGTGTGTACAACTCACCTTGGACGTCAGGATAAACCAACATATAGAGCAGAGCCCAGCGCAGAGTGGTGGCTGTGGTCTCTGAGCCACCCAGGAAAAGGTCAAAAACAGACTGCACCATGTTGTCTTCATCAAATGTAGAATTGGGCACATTTTTAGTCTACAAGTGTCAATGAGAATGGTAAAATGGGGTATAGCTGTGTAACAGCACTAAGATAGACAGTGATCACTGTATCTAAGGGAACAAGATTTCTATAGGACAGAGAAAATATAAATTCTTGAGCAGAACACAGATACAGGCAAAGACTTTACTCAAATGAGTGCACTGATATTGTTAAATTACAGGTGCAGTTGAATGTGTCAGGTGTATAAGTCCTGTTATGCTGCCTTATAAAGTGGCATGTTGACTTCTGTTCCACAGCAGAAAAACACATTTCAAGGTAGTTTTATGCCACCCATGCCACTCTCAGAACATTTGCCAATTTCAGCAATCTATCTAATATATAATGTTATCCTTTTAAAGATTTATGCTTTTTTTCAGAGCAGAGACTGCCAACATTTTAAGACTGTCATGATACTCATACAGCACTACTCTGCACAAAAGTAATACAACAAGGCAAAAATGAATCAGAATTAGGCAGCCATCTAAATACCTGCACCTTTTCAAGGTCCTCCCTGCTGCCCAGCCCACACTAAGGATTCCACAGTATGATAACAAACCAATGTAAATAATGTGTACTTCCAGAACCAATTATTGAACTAACTATTCGAAGTTCATATTTTGAGTTTGACAAGCAGAGTTTTCAAGCTGTACTTGTCCAGTTCTGCAGTAATGTTGTTGTGGACAGAAAACAGCAGGGAAGGGGCAGGGAACCCATTATGGTTGGATCTGTGTCATGTACAGCGCTGATTACTCACTTTCTCTATCTGCTTCAGGTAAAAGTCAATGAAATCTTCTGGTTCATCTATTCTGCCTTTTTTCCTGTGGCTTTTGATTTCCTGCCTTACAAAGGAATGAACAAAATCCCGGGAAAATCTTGCTTTATTTTGAGGTCCTGGGAGGTGCTCTGCAAACCACGGGAACACTTCACACATCTGGGGAGCAGGAATTCAGCACAGAGGAAGTTAGTGACACTGAAGAGCCTTGTGATAGACATGTAGCATGAACAGTTTTGATGTTAAATTACTGAATTAGTTGCTCTGGGTAAAGTCCTGTGGCATCAAAAAGAAATGTTCAGTACATGTTGAATACATAAAAGCACATTAAAACCACAAATTAGGGACAGCACAGTTTCCACCCTGGATTTTTTTCCCATCCTTACTGCAGAACTCCATCTGTATTTTTCCTGTTAATTCACCAACAAAATAATTTACTTTTGCAGATAGATGTAACACGCATCAATATTAATGTCTGATGTTAAAAAACTTTTTTGTCTACCACCTTAGCATCAAAAAAAAAATAATAATAAAAAAAAAATCATTCTCTTTCATTCTCGCACAGAGTATCATCTTTTCACCTTAGCAATACTCATATTTCCATTACAGGAAAGTTCATTATCCCAAGCACATTACCTTTGTTAAGACATTCTAATAAAGACTATTAATACAATATTCATAATTGAATCATGTCAAACCCAAAGCAGTGGGAGGTCCAGTTCATATTCACAGTCAGACTATTTATCAGCATTCAATAATGCAATACTTTAATAATATACATACTGATATAATTATATTTCAATAAATAATGAGCTCAATAATTAAATAAGTTGCATATTAGTATTATTCTAATAAGAAATATATAATCTTGTAAGTAATATTCTCACATAATAAATGTGGCTGTTCCCAAAAGCCACTATATGATTGAAGGCTTCAATCAGCTGGTGGAAGGTTTTGTCTTCTAGGGAGAAACGATGTCCAAAAACCACAGCACAAATCACATTGGAGACAGCGTGGACAATGGGGAAGGAAGGGTCAACAGCTTCTCCTGCAGACAGAGAAAAACATTAATCTCCAAAGCACTTCCTTCTCCTCCTTTGCTATTTGGGAACAAGATTATAGTGACATTTTATAACAGATGTCCCCTATGATATTTATACTGTTACTCAGAAACACCCAAAATTCACTAGGAAATGTAACAAAATATAAACCCCACTCAAAAATGAAGACACAAAAGCTTCAAATCTTAAACTCCTGGCCTTGTTTTTTAAATTTGCTTCCCTTTATGCTTTCTTTTTTCTTTTTAAATCTCAATTTTGGTGTTGCTCACAAAATAGAGACCACTGAGGTCCAGCTGTACAATAATCTCAAGGGTTCTGAGGGGCTTTTTCTCAAAAAAAAAAAAAAATAAGCAAAGAAACTTTGTATTTTGGGTTCAGGGATTTCCTTCATAGCTCTTTTTCTGTTAGCAAACCCCACAGAATGTGGGGTCTGCAGTTCTTTAGCACCTTATCCTAAATCTGCCGATCTAAGGTGTGCTCCAAATCCATTCTATTCTGTAACAAAAGTAGTGTTTACACTTAGAGTCAAGCAGTCTGTGTTGTGTCTGTCCCCAAGCACTGTGTCAATGCCATACCCTCTCTGTCTCTGAAGAACTCGACCAGGAAACGAGCCTCTGTTTGTATCCCACGCTCCATTCCTTTATTCCCCATTCCCAGCTTTCGGAGAGTTCCAATTCCAAAATGCCTCTGTTGTTTCCAGATGAGACCATTTGAGACCAAGATACCTTTAGCCACCAAGAGTAAATTTTATATGTCATATTAAAGTTCATACAACTGTAAATGATGAACACAGTAAGTGCCATCTTCTCATCACTCAGAGAGAAGGGACACTTCAGGACAGTGTTCTTTGAATTGAATGTTGTTAGAGGCAGAGAAAACACCTTGGTTAAGATATTCCCATCCCTGCAAAAAACCCACTTGGATCTCTGGACTCACACACCTGCCCTCCAAACTTAATTCTATTATTTCTGAAGCATCTGTCTCTGGTCTTTGAGAACCTTCTACCAGGATCTTTACACCAAATATCGAGCTCTCATCTTGGAAAGGTCCCTTCTGGAAGGACAATGAAGCCAGGGCAAGAACCACCCAACCAAAATGAGAAGGAAAAGTAGACTTTAGCCAATCTGCAAACAGCATCTTTGGATCAAGAGTTCCTGTAGGACAAAAAGGAATCCCAGGCTACTCTGCTGTGAGTCTGTGTTCTATCAGAGACCACCCAGCATGAATTATTTGTTTGGTGGGGAAATTCCTTCCACCAGTCTAGCCTGCACTTCCCCTGGGAAAGCCAGCTTGCTCCCCAAGACAGCTGCTTCACTGCAGACTGGGATAACTCTCCCCTATTCCTTCTGCTGTCCTGGGAACAAGGGACAGGCAGGTGGTATTTGTGTGGCAGAATCAGAAACTTGCAGCTGAGCTGCAGCTGTTTGTTAAAGCCCTCCCTGCTACAAATTACAAATTTTACGGCACTTGTCACAACTCAGCTACTTTTCTCCACAGCACCCAGATAAAAAGTGGCAATACAAGATCCTTCCAAATGAAGGATGAAATGTCCACAGACTTAATCTCTGTATCTTAAAGTGGTTTTTCTCTAATTACATTAGCTAGCATTACAAATTAAAACTTTCCAGTCTGTAGTTCTGAAATGAATCCTGACAGAGGGTAAAGGCATCTGCTGTACATTCTCTAAATAAGAGGCTGATGGAAACAAGTTCAATTATTTCTGTTTTAAACATATCACTCTTTATTCTCCATCCACTGTGATTCAGCAGTGTTTGTGATAGCAAATACAATGCTTTGAACACTGGCTAACAAATTGAAAGCTCCACTGACCTTCATGTGACTTTGTACTTCAGAACAAGATCAGAGTTGTGTATATGATTTCCTTACTGCAGCCTTTGTTGTAAACAAACAGCTGGGAGCATAAAGATTTACTTTAGTCTCAGCTTGCAGAGGAGGCCACAGACTCAGGATTATTTCAAATCAGGACACACAGAATACACTAAGAATGGACAAACAAGACCATGCTGCTCTGGTAAGATTCTGAAATACATGGGTGACAGTGGGATTTGGAGACCACTTTGGATGATGCTTCAGAATTATATAATTCACCTTGAGCTGACAGAAGAAGTCACTTGGGAACTAAGAGGTTTTCAGTAAGAAAAGCACAAAAGGAAACAAAGAAAGTCAAGGGTGAAGTCCTTCCACTGACATGAAAACCTTACCCTTTCCTTCTGCCATTTTGTTGAAAATGTAGCTCTGCAGTCGCCCTGAAACATCCTCCGAGTTGTTGGTGAGACCGTTCTTCACAGCTTGGAACCCATAGAGCACCACAATAGGTCTGTGACCCATCCACAGGGTGCAGATGTTGCCATAGGTTTTTGCCAGCTGCAGGTAAGATCAGTGCCAAAAAAAATACCCATGGGAGAAACATCAACAAATGTGCACACATGATGGGCTGCTCTTCTCCAGCACAACGCTACTCAGGGGTTCTGGAGATGAAAAGGGACAGTGGCTGAGTTTTGTGGTGGGGGTGCTTTCCACAGGAAGGATCTGGGCTCTCCCTGGGAACACAGCACCCACAGAAATGTGAGCAAGAAAAAATGGTCCCTTTCTAGAACTTGGCCTTGGTTACCTTTGCAATACCAACAATAGGGTAAATGCCCCTGTGTCTTTATGGATCTATGTAAGGTTTCCTGTGAAATTTCACCCGCCCATTGTTGGTTACATTTTTCAACTCCGTATTTCATTCCCTCAGACAACAACCAGAATTCCTTGAAATTATGAATTGCAGGTGTAACTCCCCTTCTATTACTACAGATTTCACGTTTCAATGGCAGGAACTCTTCCTGTCTTATACTGAAATACTTTCAACTGAGGCATCTAAGCATAGATCCCTTCTCTGGGTAGTGATAGGGACTCCTCTCAGGCAGTGCTGTGGGTATTCTGCAAGGACAAAATCCGTGATGCTAGACCAAGAACCAGTACAGGTCTGTCCTCTCACAGTGATTAACATGTACCCATCAGAATATTTTAGCATCACGGTCTTTTACGCTCCCTTCAGCTGCAGCCAGCTACCCACTGACCTGCAAGTTGCACTTAGCACGTAAGGTAAAGGAAGCAATTTGAAAAACACAGTAACATACTGGGTTCTTTTGTGACATCTTGTGGCTCAGTGGAGGATGTTGAAAACAGAAAGAATCTGTATTAACAGGCTTATCATGGACCTAATTCTTCTCATCAGTTCTTTCCTTTCACCATCATTTACATCTTTAGTTTATCTGCAGAGAGCACATTCCAGACTGGACCTCAGAGAAACGACGGATCAAAGGATTTGGCTGCATATGGGATACAATCCTGTTTCCATTCCCAGACAGCAGAAGATGTCCTGGTGTGCTTCTCACAGCTTCTGAATTCAAGACACTTAGTTTTATTTTTTTTTTTAATATATGCCAGTGATAGAAAATCTGAGAATCACGTTTTTCTTTCAAGGCCAAAGATTCCCTTAAATATATAAGTCTTTTCTGAGGCAAAATTACTAAGTTCAATTCTGTTTAAGTTGTACACATATCAGCTTTCATACGAATTAGACTGTCTGCAGGTTTTTACCTTAACTTGTTCAGGCACTTCACTTCCACAATTCACTTTCTCTCAGGGTTCTCCCTGTTACCACATCAGCCTATCAACAACCATCATCATTTTTTATAGGTTTTGCCTCAATAGCTCTTAAGTTCACCTGCAAATATAGGAACTTAAGTTCACCTGCAAATACATACCTTTTTCAGGCTCCCATGATCTGCTCTAAAGTTTATCCACCAGACGCTTCCAATAATGGGAAATGGGGTTGGTCCAGGAGGAAATCCACGACTCTTCCATTGCAGATTCAGGAACTGTGCACTCAGAAGAAACAAAACCAGAGATATGAGAATTACACTTATCATCATTTCACACTTCCAAACTCTTATTATAAAATTGCTACAAATCTGTCAGTTGAAATGGCTCTGTATTGTTCTTCTTAACTCTTCCCTGTCACATTAAAGATTTCTGAATTTTCACTTCCCTGCTTTCCTACCACTGTCCCTGATCCAAGAAAATGAGGATTATTTCCATTCTTGAGTGTTATTTAATACATCACCATGCTGCAATATGCTAATGATACCATTATTTAAAGATCCAGCAGAGGCTGGATCAGAGAAGGTGGGAACCTCAGCCAGAAACATCCCTTTGAGCAATCAGTTTTATGGAAGGTGTCATTCAAAATACTGCCTACGTGCATGCCAAGAACTCAGGTACAAAGTTGCAGCTGTCAGGTGAAGGCAGGAACACTGATCCTGTAGCATTCTCGGGGCAGAGGTAAAAGGAAGCAGCCAGTAGCCTTGTAAAACAGTGGGTACAGATGCAGACTTGGGAACCAAGAGCAATGAAGTGTTGTAATTTGAGTTTTCACAGTAAACAATACAGATCAACTGTAAATAGCACAGCGAAGAATCAAAAATAACTAGTGGTGTTGGCAAAAAGTGTTACAGACATCACAATAAGTTCCATTTTGGTGTTGAGTTCTTGTCCCCTATGAGGCTTTATGAATTAGTTTCTGCCTTATCTCAGTAGCAGGAGTCTTGCTCAGCAGAATAAATTCCAGAGCCTGTAATTCTTTGCTTTATTTTTAATTCACAGCATTTGAAGCAGCACATGCAAAGACCTCCTCAACAGAAAGCAAATCCCTACAAACAGGAGCAGTTCTTAAAAGATTTCTAGAGTACAGCTAGTGGAACAGGCTGTGTGGAATGTTGGTGCTTTCTCTGTGGCTGTGCTCCTTTCACAGCAGAGATGTCCCTGTGGGCTGTTATTCTGTCTCAAGATTTGCTGTCCAAAAACACTCAACTCATCCTTGCAACTCTACTTGCATAATCCATTGGTGTTATTTATCAGCTGGCAGAAAGGACATCAGGCATGTTTTGAAAGATCTTTTCACATTTTATTCATTCATTCAAGTTCTTCGGTAGCATTCAAGCATATGTCAACCACTCTTGGCAAGGGCAAGAACCCTTCCCTGGAGAAAAAAATCCTTCCTTACACAGTAATTAATCTGGGTTGTATTCCAGAAATTTCTTCCAGTGCTCAGGAATCAGTTGCAATATATTGCAAATATATTTGCAATAACCATACTGTCCTGCAGGAATAGAGGAGTTGGTCCTAGGCTGTCTCTAAACCTCTGCCCCTGGCAAATTAATCTGAACAAGTCTTACCTCAAATTTTCTGTTCTGTTCACATCTGACATTCCAAGTGCAGCATCTGGGCTAAGAGATACTGCTCTGGAAAATTGTCAAAAAGAATGCTGAGGCTGCAAATACTCAAACATTAGGAAATGCCAAAAGTAAAACTGTCTGTACAACATTAATTACTTCTTCCTGACACTTCAGTGAGAAAAGGGTATGTGCTATGTTTACTTTCTGAAATTCTTGTCTCTATTCAACTCTTCTGCAGCTGACTGCAGAACACTGCCAAGATTACACAGCACTTCACAAACCAGGGAGACGGAAAGGGCACCAGGCCTTGGTAGCTCCCACACCAAGAGGATATCCAGCACCACAGCAAGGTCTGCACTGCTTTCACCTGAATAGCACTGCGTTACAACACCAAAACAGGCAAAACTAACCAACCAAACAGAACAAACAACAACAAAAGCAATGGGAAAACAAAAAGAGGAATGTTTACAGCAGTCACTTTCCTTCCTAATAGGTAGAGCTCTTGCTTTTTCTAATTCTGCTCTCACTGCATGCCAGTGATGCAAAAAACTTGGTAAATCTCTATTAGACTATATATACCAACTGGTTTTATTTTGAGACTACTGAGATGATTGTGTATTACTAGCAGGAAGAGAAAGCAATGGATGCTACAATTCATTGTAATGCAGAGTGACAATTTAAATTAACTCCACCAATGTATGTGAATTGCAGGACTTAAGTGCACAAATTACGGACTAAAATACAAATAAAGTAAATGTGAGATCAAGTAGGTAGAGACAGGTAATTACAGAGAAGCTTTCTGCAAACAAGCTGTTTTGGCGAAAATCAGTTTTCCTGGTTCCAATAGCTTCATCAGATGTGATCAGCACCTCTCCATGCAAGCCTTACTCATTATTATCTGACAAATACTGTCATAAGAGCTGCTTGGCAGAGATGGAAGATGTTTAGTCAGCTCAGAAAACCCTCATTTCTAATGAAGGTTTTAGAGCAGAGGAGTGGGAATAAAATACAGGGAAAGAACAGAACAGAAACAGTCATACCTGCCATCTACAGCTTGACTTTCATTACTCAAACTTCAAGTTCTTTTGAAAAGTGAACATAGGGTTGATTAGGCCCACAGTGATAAATCAAATTCATGAGAGTCACAGACAAGGTATGAACAAATCTAGGAACAGAATCTGAAATTTCAAGTCCCATTCCAGTACTTTGTCTATGCAACCTAAAAAGTTCATCAATCTTCAAGTCCCAACAAAACAGACGACAGCAGGAGGCAAAAACCTACCTACTTTCTTCATAATTCATGTCAGCAAAGTTCTCTTTTCCTGAACTGAACAGAAACACAGAATGGGAATTTCTTTTGCTCACATTTCCCAGTCTTGTGTTTATTCCAGCTATGCTGTAAGCCACATTCTCCCTCTCTAAGCGCTTGCCTGGACATAGAGTGTCAGTGTAACTCTTCCCTCAGAGAAATTCTGATACCTCCAACCAGTTAACAGCTCCTATTATGAAGCTCTTGAAAGATGAGGGAGTGCAGGGGAGGAAGGGACAGCTAAGTTGATCCAAATCCAAATTAGCATCTCCACTGGGGGGTGGAAAAAGAGAAACAAAAAAAAACCCAAACCCACAAACAAATCCCAAAACCCGCTTAGCAATGCCTGTGCTGTTTAGCTTGAGGCCAGGCCAGGCAGCAAGAGCACCAGGCAGTGTTTTCTAGCACGTGCTGAGCCTGTCCCTGCAACAGACAAAAAATGAGCCCTGGTTTTCTGTCAGAGCAGATAACACAAGCTCTGGGCAGAGGTGTGCCAGGAGTCCTTTCCACCCCCAATATGCACATTTATCATTTGCTTCAAACCTTCCTAAAGATGCTCTTCTTTGCTTCCCACTCCTGTGGCCTGAAATCTTCATTACTAAAGCAGGTTTCCTCATCTGCTCAAAACAATCCAACTCAATAGCTGTCATCTTAAGTGGAGATGCAGCTCTTGCAATAGTATTAGAGTCAGAGGAGATCAAGCAAGATTTATGTGAACAGCTACTACACACATGTACTGAAAATATTAAAATCCACGGTTGTTGAAACAGCTTCCTTGCTTTTTCTCTCCTTGTGAACTTCAGCCCAATGTTTTGTAAAATAACTTTGCCTTGCTGTATTTCAGTTTGCCCATAGCTCTCACCTAGCAGCTGGCAAAGACACTGCCCACAGTGTTCAAAGGGTCCAGGCTCAGACTAATGCTTGTGGTGGGCTCAGAATTATTCAGCTGACCCAGATTTCTCTCACATTAAGCCCTTTTCTTTCTTTTTGTTTTCTTAAGTTGCATCATAATCACTGTTATTAGTAGGCAACTTCATGGCTTAACTCATCTTAATTCTCGTTATTTTAACTGTATAAATCATACCCTCACTGATGGGCATGAGAGCATCAAGAGTTTTCAGGAGCCTTTAACTGCTGCAAAACTTGCAAATTTAACAAGTGATTCTGTACACAAATAAGAAATAGAACAGCACTCACTTCCTTTTAACCACACAGGACCAGCTGGATGAAATGGGGAGAAATAAAACAAATGAAGAAATTAAATTCTCATGCACACAAGCAGCAAGTGAAGTTAGTTAAATAGTTTCATCAGGTAACTAATTTTAAAGTCTCAAATAGCATCAAAATCTGAAAAATGGGTGGATAAATAACTGCTCAACAGCATGACTCAGTAAGACTGCAATTTTTGATATACATATGGAACTGCCAGAACTGGTTAACAAAACCATAAAAGTTATTGAATTTCAAATTGCTTCCCTCAGTTTTTTGTTGATTTAACTCTTCAACTGTAAGATTCATAGAACCATGCTGCTGGAAATGATGCTTATCAAATTCTTCTGTTTCCATCTCACTGCCCAAAAAACCCTAAAAAAACAGATAACAGAGGCACAGGCATGTCCTTGGCCTCTGATGGCTGCTCCACTTCCACACTTCCTGCAAAAGCATCTGCACATGCAGCACATCGAAGCAGAAGTGGTGCATGAAACTGCACAGAGAATTCTGGTGGTGGCTGCTCAGGAAAGTAAGGCAAGAAAATGCTGCAATTTCACTGCTACCCTGTGAAACTGCCCCTGTGTTTCCTGCTGGAACCTGAAGTTATTACAATCTACTGCAGAAAAAAAGACCAATTGTCATCTACACATTTCTCAAGACTGACTCATGCAAGACTGTATTTACCACGTTTTCTTTTACTAACCCCCACACACCAAAAAAAATAAGCTCATCAGAAAACTAACTGCAATGAGTGTCCATATCTGTAACTCTCAGTTTCTTGAACTTTAATTCAGTTCTTAAGAAGCCCATGGATATCATTAAACCTTTATATTTCAGGATTACAACATATATTTTTTCCAGTTGACTACCTTGATTTGCAGAAACTTTTTGAGCTGAAAAGTGCAGACTGAAAAATTCAGCAGGCCTGCTCAGCAAAATTATGATAAACTTTTGAAACATGCAACTTGTACAATTGTATGGATTTCCTTAATCTCCTATTTAGAATTGAAGATAGAATTAGCTAGGTTCTTGAACAAGGTGTTGACAATTACTGCATATTATATCAGTAAGTATGAAAAGTAAGTCTCAAGGTAAAATTTGCTACACACTGATACAAACCTCTCTGATAAATTTACGGGATCCACAACTCAGGAAGGATTAAAAGTTTTGCCTCTTCCACTTATTTGTTCTTTTCCACAGATCTAATAGAACCTGTGCATGGTTTCATCTGCAAAATTTGCACCAGAAGATTCTAAAACTTAGCATAAAATTAAAATTTTTTAAAAAGAAAAGTTAGAAAACATCATATAATCTGATGGATAGAAAAGTAATCTCTCACTCGTGTTTGCATAATATCATAACCTAGGATGTGATAAAAGGGGAAAGAAGATACTCTTCAAATTATTAAATTACCATTTGTTTTTCTTATTGAAGACAATTGTTTAGCTTTATGCTGCATGAATTCATTCTTTTACACCTCAGAGACCTTAGATATCAAATAGATATTTCTTCTGCTATAAAGAAACCACACAATAATCGTAGTATTTCAGAATGACATTTGCTAATGCATTTCAATGTTTAACATCATGAAAGTGCCTGAGGTGTTACCATTATGCAAAACTCTTGAAAACCTGGGATAACTATTCAATAATTGGCACTTTGACCCACTTTCAAGATTAATAAGGAAACAAAATTCTAAGTGAAAAAAGAGACAGATCACAATTACAGACCATAAAAAAAGAGTGGGTGTGGCTTGGCTAACCACAAAGGATCACACAGTTTGGTTTTCTAAGGACTTCTGCTTGGGGAATCTGTAGATTGTCAGAGAGAGATGGCTACCAGAGGCATATCCTTAGAAAGAGTTTGGATTCAATAGAAGAAGCACATCTCCACAAATCCAAATTTTCAGAAGTCATACATAAAAAAAAAAAAAAAGAAAAAGATAATACCAAAAAAAGTCAAAACCCAGTGAGAAGTTCAAATTTTGATAAAATGTTTGGGATTACTGAGATTTTTATAGCTCTAGTAGTGTGTCTCCTGATTTTGCAGTTCCTCAAGATGCAATGGATGCGTACCCAGCTTCCTCCAGGACCAGTTCCCCTCCCCATCATTGGAAATTTATGGCTGCTGGACTTCAAACTTCGCCGAGAAACTCTCAGTAAGGTATTTATTTATCTCTGTGGTTGAAAATCAGTCAGAATATATTTTAACTTAAATTGTGAATTGCATAGGAACAGCCTAAAATGCTATTTTTTTAAACCTCAATCTTGATTACCAGCCAGTTTCAAAGATTCCGAGGACCCTGCACGTATTAATATTAAAAATATTTCTGAGTAATAAACACCACCATTGCTTAGTCCTTGCTCTTTTCTCTCTCTTTTGGTTACATTCTCACAAGCACTGTCATAGAATGGTATTTTTTTGGCATTTTCATTCTGTTTCTGTGTTGATATCCAGCCCTGTAAGCCACTTCTAGCAGAGTTCTCCTTTCCTGACAGCAGTGCCACTGGAACATTTCCATTAGAAGACCAAATATGTGCCCTAAACAGACACTTTTCTTCCTTGTTTTTACAGCAAAAAGATTTCTTGTCTGCCATAAACAGGTTACTGCTAAAACAAAGCAGGAGAATCTGACTGCTGTTTTGTTTACAATACAACCAATCAAAATGGTTTTTAAGTTAGGAATTTGCTTCCCACTATTACAAGGAAAAATATAAGCATGGTGTGAGGAATGACAATAGAGGAAAATAAGAAATATCCTGTGGAAGCCATAGAAAAGAAAGCAAGAACATCTCTTTCTTTCTAAGTTAGAGACAAGAAAATGCCAAAATTTTGGTTCATTAATAAAATTAAGAGAAAAGCTCTGGGATTTTACCTGTAATCATTTGTTCTTTGACTCAGAGCTGACAAAGTAACCTGCTGGGTTTCTTTCTGTGAAATTTTCAGACATCTTCTTCTGAGAGATGCCCTTAGCATCTCTTCCATAAAGAACAAATATCTTCTGTTCCCAAAGCACATTAATAACAGAAAGATAATCCTTTTCTGAAACTTGCAATTCAATTTGATGACAAAAAATGGGTTTAGTTACAACTACAGAAAACTCTTAAATAAAATGATATTTGAGTGCATGCTTTCCCTGGTTTATAGTTACAAATTTCCTGTTATCAACTCTTCAGTTAACCAACATCTATGGAAACATCTACACACTGTGGATGGGACAGACACCTCTGGTTGTCCTGAATGGATACAAAGCAGTAAAAGATGGCATCATCACCCACTCAGAAGAAGTTTCTGGAAGACCTCTCACCCCTTTCTACAGGGATATGATGGGCGAGAAAGGTACAAGGTGTTCCACA